CTTTTTCTTTCTTTTCTTTTAATTTTTTGGGAAAGATAGAGAACAAGCAGGGCAGGGGGAGAGAAAGAGGTAAACAGAGAATCCTAAGCGGGCTTCATGCACAGCCTGATGCAGGGCTCAAACTCACGAAAGGAGAGATCATTACCTGAGCTGAAGTCAAGAGTTGGACGCTTAACAGACTGAACTACCCATGTGCCCCAATTTCTCTCTTTCTCTTAACTCCTATTGTATTTAGTCTGTATCAGAGCTGAGTTTTTAGTTGTTCTCAGGTTAGTTCATTGGTTCTTGCCTCACTAACAGTTTCTTGAATGCAGAGATCCCTTTTTATATTAAAATTAACTTTATTTTCTGTTAAATAATTAATGCTCTGTGTGTTATTTTGTTCAATATTTTGTTTCAGAGATTTATTTATCTTCATAAATATTAACTTAGTTCATTCATTTTAATTGCTAATTAAAGAGTACAAATTTAGGGGTACCTGGGTGGCTCAGTCAGTTAAGCGGTCAACTTGGGCTCAGGTCATGATCTTGCAAGTTCATGAGTTCGAGCCCTGTGTCGGGCTTTGGAGTGGCAGCTTGGAGCCTGGAGCCTGCTTTGGATTCTGTGTCTCCCTCTCTCTCTGTCCTCCCCTGCTCACGCTCTGTCTCTCTATCTCTCAAAGATAAATAAATGTTAAAAAATTTTTTTAAAAAAAGAATACAAACTCATTAAAAGATAAGGAAATAAAAGAAAGTGCCATAATCTTATACCACTTGGCAATAAACATTTTTGTCTTCTTCTGGTATTCTCTTCTACATTTTTCCTATGTAATATGTTTTTTCATGAATTCATATTATTCGTGTTTGTAATTTTTTATTAATCATCATATTGTGCATATCAAAAATTATTCTTCTAAAAATCATCATTTTCTTTTAATTTTTTAATGTTTTTTATTTATTTTTGAGAGAGAGAGAGAGACAGTGTGAGCAGAGGAGGGTCAGAGAGAGAGGGAGATACAGAATCCGATGATAGGCTCCAGGCTCTGAGCTAGCTGTCAGCACAGAGCCAGACGTGGGGCTCGAACCCACAAACGGTGAGATCATGACCTAAGCCAAAGTCGGATGTCTAACCGACTAAGCCACCCACGCGGCCCCTCCCCCAAAACTCATCATTTTCTTAATCTCATTGCTAGACATTTAGGGGATTTACAGTTATTTGCTATTATCCCACAATATCCTAGCTAATGTTTTGCTCTTACTCTTTGGAATAAATTCATAGAAGAGAAATTGCTTGGTCAAAGAGATAAACAGTTGAAGGTATTTTAATGTCTATTGCTAAACTGCCCTCCAGAATAAGTTTGTAACAATTTATATTCCCACATACAGTGTATGAGAATGTGTTGGGGTTTTTTTTCCCATCCTTTCCAACAATGGGTGAGATCATTTTTTTTAAATCAGACTACTTGTATTTCTCTAGTACTGCTTAAAGTGATTCAACAGAGCTGGAGACATGGTAGACACTAAAGGAATAGTTTTGATAAATTGATAAATAAGTAGTGTTCTTTTCACTACTTATGACTACAGGTTTTTTAAGTAAATAATTAGTCATTCATTCAATATATTTATACTACATGGGACGGTCCCTGGTGTACCTACTAAAAGATAACATCTAGATAGGAAACAGTTTAAATTACTGTAACAGAAGACAGTGATGACTAGTTTTAAAACTAACGTGTATAAAAGCTACTCTTTTACTCTTAAAAAGAATGTGTCCTATTGTCCCAAAAAAGTCTCTTGGGAACAAATAATTTGTCTCCTTTTTCTAAGAATAGGAAATATTAAAACTTCTCCTCTTGGGAAAAGGACTATGAATTTAGGATATGAAAATCTTCCCATCCACTAGCTATTAGAGTCTTCAGAAGCAGGGGAATTGTGCCAGAGAGGAAGTCAAAACCTGGTGTGGATTTTCACAGTCTCCCTTCAAGATGAAGGGGTAAAAATATCAACAGTAAAATTTCTCGGGAGAATTTTTATGTTTCTATTCATTTCTGAAAGTTTGTTTTATTAAAGATACCTCAGGGCTAGGGCAACTAGATGGATGTCCTGTTTAGTTAGGTGATTTAATTTTACAAGGCTCCTGCTAAATTATCAGAAAGATTATACTAAGGTAACAATTGGTCCCACTTTTCCCATGTAAAAATCTTTTCACATTATATAAAGTGGTAATCATCAAAAATTATCATAGCTTTAGAAATTATAGCAGAAAGAACATGTGAGTGGGGTCAGAGGATATGGATTCTAGTCTAATGTCTTCTGATAAGAGTTATTTAACTTTAGGCAATCACTTCTTTTGGGGCTATAGTTATCTCTAAGCCAAAAATCTGGCTTAGGTCAGCATTTCCCAAAGTGTGTTGTGTGGAACACATGTTTTATGAGATGTTCCATTGGAAAAAAAAAAGCAGTTCAAGGTTGAATACATTTGGGAAATGCTGCATATAACATGTATCTCTTAGAAATTTACAGTGAACATTAACATATTAAGACCACTGAAAACCACTCTAGTTTAAAAACCCACTAAATTTTGTTTAATCTAGCATTTTTTCACGAATTAAATTAAAGGAAAATTTTATGTTTTTGGAATCATACCTACTAATATCATGTGGAACTCAAGTTCCAAATAACACACTTTTGGAAATGACAGACTATGATCCTTTGATATACCTGGAATTATGGTACTACTCCTTCTTCTAGAGGTATTCAGCCTGTCCCCTGGAACCTGCTCTTCCTTCCGGAGTCTCTACTTCACAGAGATGGCCACTGCATTCCAGTCTGACTCCCAAACTAAAACTCCGAGGGTCATCTTAGCTCTCCTTCTCTTTCACTCCCTTATATCCAATTACAAATCAAATCCTATGGAGTCTACCTCTTTAGCATTTCTCCCATCTAGTCCCTTCTGCCTACTTCACCCGCAGCATGGCTTGTCCCGGTTGTTGCCATCACCTTCTAATGTACTCCTGCCCCAGTCTGGTCTCCCTGGTCTCCAAAACACAAATTCAGTTGTTCTGGGGTTTAAAATCTCCAAAGATTTTATTATTCATTATATTTCCTGGAGTATCAAGTTCAAACTCCTTGGTTTAACACGTAAGCACCCCCACCCCCTCCCCCCCCCGCCTTAAAGAAGCCCTTCTACCTTTTCCTCCCATCTCTTTGAGCCTTCTCTCTGCTTGTCTGGACAAAACAGAACTGCTTGCAGAACCTCTAAAGTGTTGTGCTGTTTGGTGCCTCCATTCCTGCATAGGTATTGTTGCCTTTGTCTGGAATGCCAGTTCCTTCCTTCCTTATCAGGTTAGCTCCTCCCTGTCACTGAACATTCAGTTCAAGAATCCCCTCCACTGGAATGCTTTCCTGAGCTGGGAATGGACTCTGTAATAGTGACTTCCTTGCATCCTTTACCCATTAGACTGTGTGCTTTTTGAGGGCAGGAACCACCCTGCCATATCTTTCTTGCTTTTGTTAGAGCTCAATAAATTCTTGTTGAATGAATGAATGGTTTTATGGCTTCAAAGAAATGTTGAGAACTTGCTTAATGAACCTGAGAACTTTTCTCAATGGCTGAAAAACGCCTGTCTGCTTGCTTGCTTGCTTTTTCTTTCTCTCTCTCTCTCTCTTTCTTTCTTTCCCTTGACCAACCTAAGCACTGGGAGGAAAAAGCTATTTAAAAGCACTCAATGATCTATTTTTTAAAGGAAGTTCAGTAAAGTGAATATCTTGTATAGTATCACTCAGCCTAGTAATAGTGTTTGATGACAAAAGAAATTTATTAGGTCTGGGGCTCAGGTGTGCATAATCTCAACAAACCTGGCCATAAGGGAAATGGGATGAAAGGGTGTAGACAGATACATATGAATTATCACTTATCAAAACATTTACATTTATTAATTTAAAAATAGTTATTGTGCAATTTACTATGCTAGCATTATGGAATATATAAAAACAATCTATTGTATTACATTCATTAGGCAATATCATAACTTAGTGAAATAATTCCACAGAAAGAAACAGAAGGCAAGGAATTGGTCAGCAGCACCATTTTCATATATAAGATTACATTATTCTACAGAATATTAAAGCACCTATAAAGCTTAAAATGCAAAAGTAGAGTTATGTTTCTAAAGTACAAATATCTCAAGTGTGAAATGCAACTAGTAACTGTACTGTTTGGTTCTAAATGCCAGTTTGAAACGGATTGTGCACCAGTTCGGAACAGCTTGTGCAAAAAGGCTGGAACCATATGACAGTCCTTAAGAATATATGAAAAAATGGAATGTAATTAACCAAACCAGGATATGGCCCCAGGACAGAGAAACAAATACTCTGGATCTTAGAAAGGGAGCCCAGATGTCAGAAATGTTATAGTTAATTCCTCATCTGTGAAAATTTAAGATGCAGATACTCTTATTTAGCACGCAGATGAGAAGGCATGAAAAGGAATGTTCACTACAACTATTTCCACGTCACACTTCTGATTGGTCAATTGTTTTAATGCTGTCAACAAACTTACTTTGCATGTAGCCAGGCAAAAATAATTTAATTCTATTTTTTTCTTTCTTTGTTCAACTTCAGGAGGTCAAAATAAAGATATAAAAACTTAAGATTAAAACCTAAAAGTCTGAGTATGTCAAGCTTGTATCAAAATGAGCAGCATATGAGGAATTTAGAGCTTGGTGATCCAGAAAAATGCCAACACCTTATTCCTAAACAATTTCAGTATGGGGGGGGGAGGGGTGACAGAACTTCAGGACGCAAGATAAGCAAATTTCAAAGGTAAAAAGTAACTAAAAATCATTGAAATGCCCAATTACTAAAAGCTTCTCAATACAGTTAACAAAAATACATATAGAGTTGTCGGCCAAAATTGGTTTCCCTAAAAAAGGTCTCACGGACTGTAACGACAATGATCCTTTAAGCGCCTAAGACATCTGATGTGTTGCTGGGGTCTTTGAATACGTGGATGACATAAAGGTGAATGCATACAGGTCCTGTGACAGATCTGCTCGAAGCTTCGGTGTGTCTCACGGCCCTGGGACCGAGGCCACGGGGCCTGCTTCCAACGAAAGGCGAGCAGGGGGTGGGACCGCACCGGGATTTTCCTTCCTCGCTCATTCATTCTCTGATTCACTGGTTCCTGGAGGCGGTTCACAGGCGCGCGCGGAGGAAAGGCGGAGCAGGGAGGACAGCCCCGGCTGGGTGCGGTCCGGCGCCTGCAGGGAGGGTGAGCAGAGCCGGCGAGGGGGCGCGGGCGGGGGGCGCTGGCTGCGGGCGGACGCCCGGGAGGGGCGGGCGCGGCCGCCTGCGCCGGAAGTGAGTGGTTGGCGGCGGGCGGGGGCCGCTAGCGGCCGGGCGTGAGTCGGTCCGCCTGTCCGCCGGCCGGCCCTCAGCTCCGCCTTCTGCGTCTCGGCCGGACGCGGCTGCCCTGGGGTCGGCCACCGCTGGGCGCTGCGGCCGCCCCGCCTGCTGCGCGCTCCCGCCCCGCCCCCGCCGCCGCCGCCCGGTCAGTCAGTCAGTCAGTCACGGTGCGCGCGGCGCGGGAGCTGCGGGCGCTCACGGCGTCTCCGGGGAAGGAGCGCCGCGCCTGAGGCGGCGGCGGGGTGGCGGCCGGAGCGTCGCGAGCGGCGGCTGTCCAGTCCGGGGCCGCTGGAGGATCGAGCAGCTGCCGCGGTGAGTGCTCAGCCTCACCCTCGAGGCGGGCGGAGGGAGCCGGCCGGGCGCGGGCCGTGAGACGCTGCCTCTGCTCCCGCCTCCATTTTCCCGGCGCCCGGCCCGGCCCAGCCGTCCGGGCGCGGTGCGGGCAGCCGAGCTTGGGGCGGGGTCCCTGCCGGGCCGGGCTCGTTGGACCACGCCCGGCGAAGCGGCGGCGGCGGGTGGGTGGGGGTCGTTGGGGCGTGGGCTGCCCCCTGCGCCCCTGGGGGCAGTGACGGAGGGAGACAATGAGACACAGGACCGCCTGGGAGGGTGCGGTTGGGCTTGGATTCGGTATCGGGGTCTGGTGCCCGGGACCGCGAGGAGGAAAGGATTCTCCCCTACTCGCCGCAGAAACCAGTGATTCCGTGTCTGGGATTCCTCGGGCTTCGGTGGCCCCCACCTTTCATACATGAATTCAGTGCAGAGATAGAGAAATGCGGGGCGCTTTTTGCGCCTTCTTTCTAATTAAGCAGGCTAAGTAATTGGTCCCTTGGTTTTGAGCCCCCTCTCATGTTGCTGTGTCTGTGTGCATTCCCGCCGGAAATCCAAACTGCAATTCATGGGGCGGGGGGGGGGGGGGGGGGGGGGGGGGGGGGGGGATGGTGAGGAGGAGGGGGAGGCAGAGTAATACTGTTAGGATGCCTTCATTTTAAGACAGTCTGTAAGATGTGGTTTTCTTATTCAGACAGTGTCTTAGGGTGTCCCCACAGTGTGAACTGGGAACCGCACAAGCCTTTACTGCTTCTAAGCACGGAGACGTTGCTTGGTATGAAATAAGAGCTTTTTGGAAGGGAATAAGCGTTGCATTCAACTGTGTCTTGTGTGAGGGAGGTTTCTTAACATTTGGTGGGAAGGGTAATTAGGGAAATCTGGGAGAACTGAAAGGTTCTTCACTTCACCTCCCCATAAGGGTTGATGTGTCTGCAGCATTTCCCTTGGAGATGTGGAGAGCTGCCTGTGTGTATGTGAAATCTGTATAGGAACCGTAAAGGTAACGTCCTAGGGATAGAGTGTGAACGGATTATTAAAAGGGTGGTAGTGAGTTCATAGGAATATTAAATTCAGCAAATCTTTGTGGAATGCCTACTGTCTGCTAGAGTGGGGGACACACAGAGTGGACCAGACCTGCCGCACGGCGTGATGGAAAGAGCTCTTTGAAGCCAGGGAAACCAGAGGCTCCATAAACCTGGAATTGGGTAGTGGTGTGACCGCTAAGCTATTAACTCTCAACAGTACTTTTCTATCAGTAAAATGGGAATAACACCACCAGTTTATCTCCCCAGGTGGTTGTCAGAGATTCAATGAGATAATGTATGCAAACTGCCTAGCACCTTGCAAGGCTGTGACTGTGTTAGCAAATGTTGATTCTTTTCTTCCTTAGCCTACTGCCCTTGGGATTTTCCTAGGGGTAAAGTGGGGGAAGAAGTTACGGTAGGTAATTTGTAATGCAATGCATTATATAATGTTGAAGTAGAGATGCAAAATAGGGGAGCAAAGAGGAGAGAGATTAATTCTAGATTGGTAGCACTGGGGGAAAATTCATGGCAGCTGTGACATTTATGTGGCACCTTTAATGGGTAGGATTTTAAAAAGAAGAAGAATGGGTAGAATTTCAGCTGATGTAGATGAGGAGGACATTCCAAGCAGAGGTGGCACTATCCTTTGAGACCCCAATTGAGGAGTAAGACCAATGGGGATAGGGCAACATAGAGACGCTCAAAAGCTTTTTAGCTCTTGTTGAGTCTAACCTTCAAAGATTGTCTCTGTTATTTTGTTTTTTGTGTTGTGAATTTCCCAGAAACCAAATCGAGCCCTATTCAAATAAGTACAAAAATGTCAACAAAGCTTTAATACACGATTTTTTGGATTAGACATTTTGTGTTATTTGGACTGTTGCTCTCCTCTGAATTTAATAAAGAATTATTTGTAGATATTTCCTCGTGGTGAATAATAGCTCTATTCGGTAGAAAAGCAGCTGATATTTCAGATTGAGAGGTCTAAGATTATGTAGTAAATGGCTAACAGGAGTGGAGTAGTGTGCACATACTGGGTATGCCTCATACTCTTGGTCAATATAATTTGTTTTTCGCTAATATTTTTAACACTTTATTTTCTGAAGTGTTTTTAACCATGTCTTTGAGGATAATTAAGATGACTTTTCCTTTGGTTTTGCTCTCTTTCGGTTTTTACCCCATACATAATTACTATATTGTTTAGATTAGCATGGTGGATGATATCACACTATTCATGGAGTCTATAGAATCTCATGGCTTTGCCTTGGTTTTGAAGTATTCGAATGTCAGCATTATTGTTAATCCCAAACTCTTAGGAAAATTAACATTAGCAAAGCAAGATATGTGACCTCAGGCTAATCTTTTATCTTGGATTCTAATTACCTGTAAAATGAGAAATTTGGATTAGATTACTGGTTTTCAGTGTGTGTTTTACTGCTTTGGAATTTTGTGGAGGACCTTCAAGGGTTCTGCAGATGTTTCACTTAAATCTCATTAAAAATGTATTTTAAACCTATATTATATTTTATTTTTCTTAAGCAGTTTTTTGTCAAGTTGGTTTCCATATAACACCCAGTGCTCATCCCAACAAGTGCCCTCTTCCATGCCCATCACCCGCCTTCCCCTCTCCTCCACCCCCATCAGCCCTGAGTTCTCAGCATTCAAGAGTCTCTCATGGTTTGCCTCCTTCCCGTTCCCCAACTATTTTTCCCTTCTTCCTCCTCCATGGTCCTCTGTTAAGTTCCTCCTAATCCACCTATATGTACAAACATATGGTATCTGTCCTTCTCTGCCTGACTTATTTTCTTCAGCATAGCACCCTCAAGGTCCATCCATGTTGCTACACATGGCCAGATTTCATTCTTTCTCATTGCCATGTACTATTCCATTGTATAGATAAACCACATATTCTTGATCCGTTCGTCAGTTGATGGACACTTAGGCTCTTTCCATGTTTTGGCTACTGTTGAGAGTGCTGCTATGAACATTGGGGTACATGTGCCCCTGTGCATCAGCACTCCTGTATCCCTTTAAACCTATATTAATAAAAAGTGACTACTAAATGACATGCCTTGTTTTAAGTGTTTTACATGTAAAATTTACGTCTTGACATAATCCTATGAAGTAAATTCTGTAACACTCTGAATAAACCGGCTTAGACTACAGACCTATAAAATGACAGACCTGGGTTTGAAACCAGTCCGCATAATTCCTAAGCTTTCTTAGGAATTTGTAGTTTTCTTAACTACATTTTTATACTGCCACCATAATAACACACACAAATTTTTTTATTGTAAAATATATAACATAAGATTTACCATTTTAACCATTTTTAATTGTACATTTCAGTTGTATTAAGTACATTCACAAAGTTGTACAACCATTATCTTAAGAACTTTTTCATCATTCCAAACTGAAATTACTCATTAAATAATAACTCTGCACCCCCCTCTCTCTAGCCTCTGGTAGTTACTTTTCTACTTACTGTTCTTATGAACTTGGCTACCCTAGGTACTTTATATAAATGGAAATCTGCAATATTTGTTCTTTTATATTTGGCTTATTTTAATGTCTTCAAAGTTCATCATGTTATAGGATAAATCAGAATTTCATTCCTTATTAAAGGCTGAATAATATTCCATTGTGTGTGTGTGTGTTTATTCATTTTTTATTCATTTTTAGAGAGATGTTTGTTGTTTCTGCTTTTTGGCTGTTGTGAATAATGCTGCTTTGAACCTTGTCATACACATGCCTGTTTTAGTCCCTGCTTTCAGTTCTTTTGGGTATATACCAGCAGTAGAATTGCGGGATCATATGGTAATTCTGTGTTTGATTTTTGAGGAACCTTCATACTGTTTTCCACAGTGGCTGCAGCATTTTACGCTTCTATTAGCAGTGTACAATGGTTCTGGCCTCTCCACATCTTTAGCAACAATTGCTATTTTCAGGGTTTTGCTTTGTTTTAAAATGGCCATCCTAATGAGTATGAAGTAGCATCTCATTGTGGTTTTGATTTGCATTTTTCTAATGATTAGTGATATTGAGCATCTTTTCAAGTACTTATTGACCATTTGTGTATCTTTGTAGCAATGTCTGTCCTTGTCCTTTGCTCGGTTTAAAAAATTGGGCTGTTTTGTTGTTGAGTTGTAGGAATTCCTTATATATTTTGGATATTAATTTCACATCAGATCCATGATTTACAATTTACATTGTCATGGGTTGCCTTTTCACTCTGTTGATGGTATTCTTTGATGTACAGAGTTTTCATTTTAATGAGGTCCACTTTATCTTTTTTTCCTCCTGTTGGTGCTGATGCTCTTGGTGTCATGTCCAAGAAATCATTGCCAAATCCAATGTCATGAAGGTTTTCCCATATGTTTTCTTCTAATAGTTTTATAGTTTAAGCTTTTATGTTTAGTTAATATTTATGTGTGGTGTTAGATACGGGGCCAACCATATCCTTTCACATGTGTATATCTGGTTTACCAGCATTTATCAGCATCATTTGGTGAAAGGACTGTTCTTTCTCCATTGAATGGCAGTGGCAACCTTCATGTATGTATACAAAAAATTTTGAGTTCAGAAGCAGCTGGCATTGTTGGGTGTTGGCATGGAAATGACTCATTGTGATTGGATTTAGTATCCTTGCATTCACTAGCAAGTCAAAATGCAAAGATTCACTAAGACTTTGACCAGAAAGACTATCGCTTTGGAAGTGTAACCCCGTGACACCATGGAAAAAGATCCAGCGTAAAGAGGGCATCTCCCTGTACCCCCCCCACCCCCAACAGCAGAGGCTCATCATTGCAGGCAAGCAGCTGGAAGGTGGCCACACTCTTTCTGATGACAATATCTAGAAAGGGTCATCCCTACACCCGGCCCCGCATCTGAGTGGTGGTATGCAGATCTTTGCAAAGACCCTGACTGGCAAAACCATCACTCTGGAGGTGAAGCCCAGTGACA